CATGGGAGATGCCACCGCATCCTCCTCTTATGCTCCCTTAGTGCCAGCCTGGATGATTTGGGGAGCCAGGAGAGGTGCCAGCCTGGTTCCCACTCGCAGCTGCTACACGTATCCTGTCAGGTTGTAGGAGTTGAGCTCGCTCTTGGTCTTCTGTGTCTGGCTGACAGAGGGCTGGAGGCTCTTGCCTGCCAGCAGCCGGGGCTGGTGGCTGCTTGTGTACGTGGCTGTTGGGTCCCGGGAAGGGCAGGAGGTGCTGAGGATGAAGCCGCCGATGAGGGAGAGGAGGGAGGAGATGATGCCCAGGTAAAGTGCCTCCCCAAGTTCAAACTTCATGCTGTCAGGGAGGATGGGGTTGTGGAAATCCCGCAGCACCACATGGATGTTCCACACCATCGGGATGAAGCAGAGCAGCCCCCCAAGGATGAAGACCATGCCTCCTGCCACTGCCACCCGGTCCTTGCCTGGTGAGCCCTGGCTGAAGACAGTGCACCTCATGCCCACGACGGTGAGGAGGCAGGCAAGGGAGGAAATGACACAGGAGCTCACCATCAAAGCTTGGGCCGCCTGGATGTCGGTGGGCAGGTTGAGCAGGGAACTGTAGATGTCACACTGGGTGATGCCCGTGCTGTATGTGGCGCACTCCATCCACAGCCCCTTGGTGAAGCTCACAGCTGTCACGATGCTGGAGCCAATGTAGGAACTGGTCTTCCAGGTGGGCAGCAGTGTGGTTGTTAGCGTGCCAATGTAGCCCAGGAAGGCCATGGCGTAGCCCAGCAGTTGGAGCCCCATGGAGACCATGGTGGGAGCTGGCTGTCACCTCCCCAGGGCTCACGGCTTCTCACGCAGCTCACCAGCAGCTCGCTCCCGTGCTTACCTTTCCCATGGCCCTGCTGGCGGCTCCGCTCGCTGCGTTGCAGCTCCACCCCACTCCCGCGAGTGCTGGTTTTGTGCAGGCACTGGCGCGTGGGTGGGAGCCAGGGGGAGGAGAGGTTACCTGCAAGAGTGGAAAGCAATCCCTCCCCGATTAACGATTGACCGAAGCCTGTGGAGGAGCGCCAAGCGCCCTTTCACCTCCGCTATCTGCCTAGCCAGACTTCAGAGACAGAGCAGTGCTGCCTGGGAAGGATGCCAAAGCCCTCCCTTGCACTGGGGCACAGGCAGGGATGGAGAGCCGGCCGCTGGCAGGGGGAAAGACCCCCATCCTTCCTGGGTGTCCCTTGTCTTCTGTGGTGACCCAAGCCAAGGAAGACAAAAAGCTATGGCTGTGCCATGTTGTTTGGGACCTGTCGGAGGCAATTTCAGGTGGTGACCCTGAGGGTCCCACAGCAGAAGAAGAGGGATTGTGCCTCATCCCCATCTGCACAGGGCTCACCCAAGGAACCTGCAGCCACCCACTATCCACCCTGAGCTGCCAAGGCGCCGGTGGGACAAGGGGATGTGCCCACCTGAGGTTGAACCATGGCTATCAGCCTTTCTGTGCCGCTGGGGACAACGATGGAACGGGATGCATGTGACAGTGATGCCTGCATCCCCAGGAGAGCCTGGAGGACCATGGAGGGCAAAATTACATCAGGGCAAATCATGCTGGCAGCACCTTGGGGATGCTTCCCAGGAGCGCCCTGGCCGAGCGGGGTGACCCATCCCTCGGTGGGATGAGCACGCCAGGGTGCAGCTCGTGCTTGCTGCTTCCGGCAGGAGTTCTTTTGCCGGTGCCATCTCCTGCCTGCAGTCCTGGCCATGGCGGGGGGGGAGGGGGGTTGGCAGAGGCAGTGGAGTGGGGTGGTTTGTTTCCCTCTTCCTTGTTTCAAAATTCCCCATCCTGTGGCATCTTGCGA